TGTCTGTCTGTGTGTTTGTGTATGTGTGTTCGTGCGCTCCCGCACGGGTTGCCATTGGCGCACGGGCGACACGTGGCGGACAAGTGGCGGCCACGTTCGGGGCGCGGCCTGGCCGCAGGCCAGGCCGCCCCGGCTGACAAGTGGCGACACGTGGCTAAAATCCGTGTCTGTGTGTGTGTCTGTATGTCCTTGCGCTCCCGCGTTGCCATTGGCGCACGGCGGCGGCGCCGCGGTGACAAGTGGCGGCCACGTGGCGGTGGCAAGTGGCGGGGTGCTGCGGGGCGGCTTGGCCGCAGGCCAAGCGGCCACCAAGGACACGTGGCGGCTACGGGATGGGCAGAAATTACGTGGGTCATTTAAAAATTCGGCATGACCTCAGAGGCGGCAGCGGCGAGGGGAAAGGGTGTGTCACTGGCGGGGGGCGAGGGGTTCCGCATGGCCACGCTGTGGCGAGGGTAGCGCACGGTGGGTGAAGGCAGAGGCCGCTGACGAGGCCCGAAAAGTGGGTGCGGAGCGCGTGCGGAAGGGGCCGGACCGCGCCCGGGGGGGAAGGGGGTGGCGGCGAGCGCCGGCGCGAGGGGCAGGGGCGAGGAACGCCGAAGACCGTCGCTGCGAGGCGCGCAGGTGTCGCAGCCGGCAGCGCAAGAAGACGCGCGCGGGTGAGGGGGGGCCGGGAATTGACGCCCAGGCGGTCGCGCTGCGCTCCTTCCGCGGGGTTCGCAGCGTACGAGAGGGAAGATTGACTAACTGCGATGACTGTGGGTGCGGGAGCGGCACCGCGACGGACGAGAAGGAGGGCCTACGGAAACAGCGTGCAGAGGGGAAGGTGGCTGTGATCGGCTTGATCAAGAAGAGGCGGGCAGGCGGGGGATGGGGGAAGCGCATCATAAGGGGAGGAGGGATCGTAGGGCGGTCAAAGGAGGCAGGAGGGGAGGGGAACCAGGAGAGCGGAGGGCGGGAGAGTCGCTGAGAGCGCACGCGACGAAGCAGGGGCAGCGGCAGCAGCAGCAAGGGTGGGGACGTCGGAGCAGTAACTGCAAAGGTCGGAGCAGGAAGCCGAGCGAAAGGTGCACAGGCGGCGAAATGGGTGGAGCGGAAGGCGAGGTGGGGGTGCAAGCCCGGGCACGCGAGGCGACGGTTATTTTGGGGGCGGCAAGAGCAGCAGCAGGGGAGGAGGCCGGCGACGGAGAGGGCAAGGCCGCCGCAGGGCGGGAGGGAGCGGGGCGAGCCGCACGAGTAGAGGGGCCGGTTAGAGTAGGGCGGGGCGGCGGGTGAGGTGTGATTGCGCGGGCGTGTGCCTAGAGCGTGAGAGCCATAGAATAACGAAAGGGTAGGGGCACAGAAGTGGGAGTGCGGGGATTGAGGAAGCGAAGCGCCTCGCGGCGTAGGCGCCAGGCAACGCAGGCGGCGGCGAAACAGTCGAGAGCAGAAGCGGGGAGAAGGAGGGGGCAGTGTGGGCGGGGGGCCACGGGATCGCCGGTACGGAGGTTGAGGCGGACGGGAGTGCCAACCGTAGCGACCAGAGCAACGGCCTGGGCAAGGGTAGCGAGCAGGACTGAGGCGAGTGTGGCGAGAGCAGCGCGATCTGCAGCCAGAGTGAGCACGGAGGGGCGGTACGCGTGGCAGGACGAGGGGGAAAGGGGCGACGAAGACCGGAGAGAGGACGAGAGCAGTAGCGAAGAGGACGGGGGAGCAGCGGGGCGGGGAACGCCGGCAACGATGGTGGACCAGAGACGAAGGGACGGCAGAGCGGGAGGTGCGGGGCGAGGAGCGGAGAAAGAAGGGATTTGGCTCGGCGCGCGAAGCGCGCACGGAGCCCACTTGTCCACAACTAATAAAATCCGTGTCTGTGTGTCTGTCTGTATGTCCTTGCGCTCCCGCGTTGCCATTGGCGCACGGGGGCGGCGCCGCGGTGACAAGTGGTGGCCACGTGCGGGGCGGCCTGGCCGCCACGGGGACACGTGGCGGTAAAATTAATTTTATTTTGAATTTCGAACTGTTACACCAATGCGGCACTACAGTAGCGTGCCGGTGACAAGTGGCGACACGTGGCGCCGCCCCTGGTGACAAGTGGCGGTGAGGCGAAAGCGCGCACGATTAGAAACGTTTTTTACATAGCCGCACGTCAGCAGCACAGTACCTGCTTTCGAGTTCAACATCCTTCAGCAAATTTTCACCACGTGACGGCTCCCTGGTAGCGTGGTGACCAGAGTCTGGGCAAGGCAGCGATCGTGATTCTATGCCGGCTTAGTAGTGGGCTGAATACGGCATTCCCCGCGAAAAGTTTACCGGATTGCTTGACGGCATCCGGATAGTCCCTAGGTGCTATTGCGCTTTGCTTTTAGTAAAGCGTGGTAGTCTGCCGCTGTGCAGGAAGAGTAATCCGATAGCGCACCATTTATTGGTGTTGTAGTATCGGGCTCGGAACAACGGCCTCCGCAGAGCAATCTGCGGACGTCGGACTGACGTTGTTTTCAACGTCGACAACGAAGATCAAACGCAGCCTCTGTCAAACTTTAGAGGCTGCAAGAAGACCCAGTGTAGTTGCCGTTAGGGCTTGGGAAACCTAACCACCGCACTGAGGGAAAATGGAGCGCGCGTACTTAGCGACCCCGGCGGGAAGAGCCTTGCAAGAGGTTCTTTCTAATACCGGGCTCCCTGGGAGTAGAAATAGACAAGGTGGTCGTACTCTGAGTATTAATACTGTACCCTGTGTATAGTAGGACCATTAGTCTATTTCTATTTCTATTTCGTTTTTGGTTCTTTTGAATCACGGGATAGTACAAGACAATAAAGGCCCTATATTGTTACTCTTTTGCTAAGTGTTCTTGCGGACGACCTAGCTGGCTGACGTTGCGTTTAGACCTTTGAGAACTGCTTGCTACGACTCATAGCGATCTACAACGGACCCCTCGCACTTGCGTCAACCCTAGCTGCACTTGCAGGGATAACACTAGCGCGCCAAGCAGAACATAAATGGCGGGAACAGCGGGCGAAGACGTGGCAGAAGCAAGACGGCAGCAAAGAAACGCGCGTGCAAGGGAAAGAAGAGCGCAAGAGTCGGAATCTGACGCTCAAGCACGTCGTGAGGCACGTCGAACCCGTGCGAGAATCCGGACGGGGCAACAAACCGAATCTCAGATGGAAGCGCGTCGTCAAGCCGACCGTGAACGTGCTGCAGCACGAAGAGCAGCAGAGACGTCTGAGCAGCGCGAGGAGCGTCTCCGTCGACTGAGGGAGAGAGCCAGGGCCCGCAGAGCGGGAGAAACCACCCCCCTCCGAAATGCGGGGCGCGAAGCGGATCGCATTGCGACACGAGGCACTAGAGCGGAGGAATGTACTCCTATTCGTGAGGGGCGGCGAGAATCGAATCTTATTGCAACGCAAAGAGGCCGAGCCGAGGAAAATACTCCACTGAGATCTTCGAGACAGGAGTCGAATCGCTTGGCAATGCGACAAGCGAGAGCTGTGGATATATCCCCTGTCATAGCTGCGCGGCAAAGATCCGACCGCCAGGCTCGAAGTGCCTCTCGACAGCTCTTCCCTCCGCTACCCGAGTCCTCTCCTTCTTACCGCGATCTCGGCATGATCCGTGTTGAGTGTTCACACTGCAAAGCTCTGCATTTCGTTCAAGAACGCATCGGGGGCAGCTCTGCCGCAAGGCCCATTTTTTCCACATGCTGTGGGAAGGGGAAGCTGTCATTGCCGCTTCTCCCCGAACCGCCAGCTCTTCTGCGCTCTCTTCTCATCGATGATACTCCAAGGGCCCGCAGCTTCCGTAAGAACATTCGAGCATACAATGTAGCGCTATCCATGGCATCCGTGGTCGCCAAATGGGTGAACAGAGGTCCCGGTCCTTCTAATTTTAACCCCACAATGACGATGCAGGGCGGGATGTACCATTACATGGGTCCCATGATGCCATCCGAAGGGCGGGCGCCTTCCTATGCTTCCGTTTACATTCATGACACTGACTACGCTACCCAGACGCGCACAAGGCTTGGAAACTCTAGACAACTGGAAGAGGCACTGATGACGCAACTGACACACATGCTGCACGAATGCAACCCCTACGTGCAGACGTTTCTGTGTATGCGAGAATGGGCTCAATCTCCTCACAACAACTGTCCTGCCACGTACCAGATGGTCATCCATGCCGACCGCAGGCCAAGTCATGAGCACGTGCGCCGGTACAATGGTCCCGAAGTTTCTGAAGTCGCCGCATTGATCCCTGGAAATGAAGACGGAGAGATTGGGCGAAGAGATATCGTCGTGCGCAGGAGAGGGACTCTGAACAGTAACGGGAACGAAGTGCTGGATCCGATTTCAGTCAGTCATCGCGCATACGATCCATTGAGTTACGTGCTTTTGTTCCCGAACGGTAGAGATGGATGGTATCCAGAGCTTCGATTCTCCAGTGTTCAAGACGGCAGACGTACCAAGATTACTCCGATGATGTACTACGGATGGCATTTGTTCGAAAGAGCAGGCGACTTCAGCACAATCTTGCACGCAGCACGACTCTTTCAGCAATACTTGGTTGACCAGTTCTGCAAAGTGGAGGCAGAAAGGCTTTCTTATCTCCGCCACAACCAGACACAACTTCGAGCCGCCGACTACACCTCACTGCGCGACAGCCTAGGAGACTCCGGTCGTGCTGAAGATGAAGCCGATGCCGTGCGTGCGGGACGACTGTTCATTCTCCCTTCCACGTACATTGGAGGTGACCGCTATATGAGGCAGCAGATGCACGACATCATTGCTATATCGAACCAAATTGGCCACCCGGACATCTTCCTCACCATGACATGCAATCCAAGCTGGCCGGAGATCACAAGAGCCCTACTGCCGAACCAAACGCCTCAGGACAGACCGGATCTGTGCGCACGTGTGTTTCGTCTGAAAATGAAAGATCTCATGTCCTTGGTCATCAACGAAGAAGTATTCGGAACCGTTGTTTCCCATGTACGAGTCATCGAGTTTCAGAAACGCGGTCTTCCCCACGCTCACGTTGTATTTTTCCTAGATGAAGTCTCCAAGAATGATCTGCGTACTCCCGAAAACGTCGACCGCATTATCTCTGCCGAGATCCCGTCTGCCCAAGATCCAGAACTCCAAGAGGTCGTACTCAAGCATATGATTCACAATCCATGTGGAGAACACAATCCAACAGCCGTGTGCATGGGCGAGCGGTACTGCAGGAAAGGGTTTCCAAAATCGTTCAAACACGAAACCAGCCAGTCCGACAGTGAGTACTACATCACGTACCGAAGAAGGGCACCCTCTGCAGGTGGCGTCTCCATCGAGCGACCCTCCCGTATTGGCCGACGACAGCAACCCGTCGTGGTAGACAACTCCTGGGTCGTTCCCTACAGTCCTGTGCTTCTGCGTTCATTTGCTTGCCATTTGAATGTTGAACTCTGCGTGTCACGCGTTGGCGGAATCAAGTACCTCTTCAAGTATGTGTGCAAGGGACAAGACCGAGTGACCATGGAAATCACTGCCGAGAACGAGCGCTACGACGAGATCTCCAACTTCCAAGATGCCAGATACGTTTCGGCATCGGAGGCCGCATGGAGGTTATTCTCCTTTGACATTGTAGACCGCAATCCTCCAGTAGTCAAGCTTGCAGTGCATCTGCCCAACCACCACACGGTTTACTTTGAGGAAGGGCAAGAGCAGGAGGCGGCGCTTCGACCAGCAACAGGCACGAAGCTGACCGAGTGGTTTAAAGCCAACGAGAAGTACCCAAGCGCGCGGCATATTCGGTACCACAAGTTTCCAAGGTACTTTACGTGGAAGACACACACCAAGTCATGGAGTCCAAGAGCAACCCTGCGAAGACGGAACGCCAGCAGCGAAGAGGAAGCCTGCGATTTCAGTGGTACAGGTGTCAACGTAGTCGGTCGAATCTACACTGTCAGTCCGAGGGAGGGTGAGCGCTACTTTCTTCGCCTCCTCCTCACACAAGTGCCAGGTGCAACATCCTTTGAGAACTTGCGAAATATCGACGGCGAGCAGGGCACCAGCTTCCGACAAGCTTGCTTACGACTCGGTTTGCTGGCCGACGATGCCGAGTGGAAGCACGCAATCCGAGATTCATTCCGGTCAGGCTTCGTTCCTCTTTCTCATCTGTTTGCTACGATTCTGGCACACTGCCAGCCTTCGGACCCTCTGTTGCTGTGGAACGACCACCTGGACATGTTTCTCACCGATATTTGCAATCGTGCACGCGGACAACCTATTCGAAGACAGCAGCTTCGCGATGATCACCACGCCACATCTTACGTGCTTGGAGAGGTACAGGAGGCCCTGCAGATCGTGCGTTCCGACTGGACACTCGCAAACTTCGGACTCCTACTGCCCGATGACAGCCTTCCCGCTTTGGAACAGCAAAACGAGATCGAGACCCCCGAAGCTAGAGCGCAGCAGTGGGAAGAGCGACTACAGACGTTGTTGCCGCTGTTGAACACAAATCAACGCCATGCCTTTGACGAAATAGTGGGCTCCATGCTTCCAGGCGTATCCGTCTTTGCATTGCTTCAAGGATCCACAAGCGCCGTGGCGGGACCTTCTATGCCAACACGAAGTGGTAGTCTCTTCTTCCTCGATGCTCCTGGCGGAACACGCAAAACATTCGTGCTCAGCGCCATTCAAGACTTCCTTCGTACGCGCCGTAAGCAAGTCATCGCTGTCGCTACGTCTGCTGTTGCTGCTGTGTTGCTCGACGGTGGACGCACCGCTCATTCCGTGTTCAAGGTTTCCATTCCTGTATCTGCCGAAAGCACGTGCAGCTTCTCCGCAAACTCCGACACTGGCCGTACACTGCAACAAGTCGATCTCATCATATGGGACGAGATCGTCATGTGCCATCGACATTGCATTGAGACTGTCGATCGCTCCCTTCGCGACTTGATGCAAACCGACCGGCCCTTCGGTGGAAAGTTCCTCGTGCTCGCTGGAGACTTTAGACAAATCCTTCCCGTCGTTCCGGGCGGGTCCCGAGGTCAAATCGTGAGCGCGTGCGTCAAGGCTTCCCCGCTGTATCGAGAGTGCCGATTCCTGCGCCTTACCGAGAACATGCGCCTTGCTGCTCTCCGAGCGGACCCTGCAGCAGATGTGGAGGCTCTCAACTTTCCAGAGTTCCTCCTCAGCGTCGGGGAAGGCAGAATTAACGGCGAACAGCGCCCGGAATGGATCTCACTACCACAGTCCGTTGCGTTCGAGCATACCATCCGCAATTTATGCCTCAAGGTCTTCCAAGGGATTCGAGACAATCACGCCGACCTTGCCTGGCTCACCAAGCGCGTTATACTCACCACAAAGAACAGGCCGCTCGAGGAAGTCAACGAGGTCATCGGCAACATGATTCCGGGACCGTGTCGAACGTACTTGAGCGCAGACAAGGTCGAGAACGAAGACACCAACGCGCTAATCTATCCCACAGAAATGCTCAACACCTTGACCGACGGATCTGCTCTACCACACCACAAGCTCAAGCTCAAGAAGGGCCTCATCGTCATGCTTCTGCGCAATATCGATCCCGCTACCGGTCACGTCAACGGCGCGCGATATGTCATCGAGAACATGACCAACAACCTGCTCTTTCTACGCGTTACCACCGGATCACACCAAGGCAACAGACTGTGTCTTCTTCGAATGCCCTGCGGACCAGGAGACGACAACTTTCCCATCCCTGGCTTCACCCGAACGCAGTTCCCCATTCGCACGTGCTTCGCCCTTACAACAAACAAAGCGCAAGGCCAATCCTTCGGTGGCCGCATTGGTCTCGACTTACGAGATCACTGCTTCTCGCACGGTCAACTCTACGTCGCACTATCAAGGACTACTCACCCAGGGAACGTCACTGTCCTCACTCGAGAGTCCAATGAAACAACGCGAAACATAGTGTACCCCGAGGTCCTTCAGTAGTTACTAAAAAAAGTAAACGCCATTGTCTTTACATCTTTTCATTGCCACCCTTCCCAAATAGTGTTCCTCCACGCTTTCTTGGCTCGGCGCGCGAAGCGCGCACGGAGCCCACTTGTTTTTTGTACTGAAGACATGGAAAAGTTCAGCATCTGTGTGCACGAGACCAAGATTGAAACTTCCACACTCTCGTTATCCTGCCCTGTACGTTTTTAAACGTACAGGGCAGGATAACGAGAGTGCTTTAAAAAGCATTTGCGGATTAGGACCGAAGAAGAGGGGGTGACGTCACTGTCATCCACGCTAGTCCGATTCCACACGTTCTTCAGCTGGCACATCGCTACGTACCGAGTACAATACTGTACCTGTGTTTTCTCTTTCTGGGTTCTCTGCAACAATGTCTATGTTGGGAGCTCCTCTCCCCGCCAAGAGCTGCGCTGAGCTTTCTCTCAATACTTTCACTGCACAGTAATGCAACATAGAAATGTTTTGGGAGACACTATTCGGTGCCTCGAAAGTCTCCTTCTTCCAAATCTAAAGCTGCCTATTCCAAAACAATCATTTTATATACGCTTGTTTTGATATCAGTGGTTGTTTCTTCATGCATATAATCAGTTTCAACCTTTACAGGATCGACATGACTGGAATCTGCTTCCCTGTCCAAAAATGGAACTGCATTCATCCTGTTGTAGATGGCATTTCACGAGAAAGAAGTACAGTATATGCAACACTAATTTCGTTTTGTTGCGTGCCAGCGCTCTGGAGGCCCGCTTTTGCCGGGTCTCTAGAGTATATCCCTCAAACCCTTTCAAACTCTTTACAAAAGACTCTGAATTCCCCTTTGTATGCACAAAATGCACCTCCCCCTTGCTACAGCTGGATTTCTCTTGATTTAGAACACGAGCCACCAACAACAGACCCATAATCCGGAAGAGAAACTAGCAATTGGCCTTGGGACTGTAATCCGTGATTTGTCAACCGGGCGTGCGATATGGATGCGCCGTGATATGACTGATATGCACTCCGCCCGGTGCAATATCGCTGTATTGCACCGGGTCGGGTGCAATATGGAGATATTGCACTGCACTGAATGCACTGCTTCGCATGGAATGTAGTGCATTCCGTGCCAGGCAGTTTTTTGATGCTTTATTGCTGTCGCACTCCCTGTTGACAAGCACGTTGTCCACCACGCCCTCGTGCGAATATTCCGCCTCGTGTATGATATAAGTTGCCCTCGGCAAGCCTCGGGCATCATATCAGCACTCGGCGGAATATCCGCACTCAAGGCCGGTGGACAACCCACACGTATGTTGCAGGAGAGTTCTTTCTGGAGACCCATTGCCAGGTTCTTGCAAAAGCGATGTGTTCTGTTTCGGGTTTACAATACAGATAGGACTCGCGCAATAGTGCCGAATTGAGTAATTCCACGAGTGAGTAATGCAGGGGTTTCTCGGTGAACACAGGTTATCATACCTTGCATTGCTGTTAGACACCTGTCCAAGACGGGGACGCGGCCGAAGAAGATGCCCAACAGTAAACGGATCAACCTTTCCAACATACCCCACAGATCCTCTCCGTCTTACTCCAGTGACACGCAAGGGCACCGACACAACCACAACACAGCATGAAAAGACGATTGCAGATGGAACCAAAGAGATAGAATCAAATGAGTATGTTATTTCAGGTTTTGAGGAAGTAATTGCCTGCTTTACGGGAGTGGAGAAAATGGTGAACAATTCGGGTGTCGAGGATTCGTCATTTGCACCGTGCAAAGCGCGCGTTGCTAACTGCACACGCTGAGCAGAGTCGTTCCGAGAGGCGCCAGACGCTTGTAAACGAGTATTTTGTGTGACCCCATTCATTAGTGCAAGATGCGAGTATTGCATGTTGTTGGAACCTTGCATGGGGGTGCACTACTCAGTGTGGTTGACTGTATCTCCATTCAGTAGCACCGGGTGTATTATTGATTTGTTCATTCCGTGATATTGTGCACGTACCGTGCTGCACAGTACGTACAGTATCCCCATGGAACACACGTGAGTACATTTTAAAGCGATTCGATTGCCGACATGGGGCTAGGCGACACCACCCTTGCATGAGCTGGTCCTCTCCCTTGTTTCCAAGTTAAAGTGTTCATCAGTGCAATAGTAACTACGGTATTGCCATGAATTTTGACAGCTAGGGAGATCCTGTGCCCATATCGTCTTGCTTCTGCACACATTTGAAGAAATTCAAAAAAAGAAGCGTCGAAATTGCTGGTCCGAGGACCACCACCTCAGGCATTTCTCCCTCCTAGTAGAGAAGCAAACCTTTTCGACCACGGCGAGGTGCCCACGATACCATTGGACCCTGCTGGTAGTGGAGTCCAGTTACTATACGTTTTAGCCCCGCAGCCGCGTTACGGAAGACATATGACAGGGATCGCTCGATGCCGCGACAATGCAGGGTTCAGAAGGGGCGCACGCGGCCTTGGTTTGCTATATAAAGCCCGCTCTACCTCCCGAACCATACCTCACGCCCGTCAAACTCATAGCTACCCCTCTGTCCATACGTCTCGGCCCTCTGAAGCACAAGCACCTTGTAAAGCATGGCTTTCCGTCTACCTATTGCCGTCGTTTTCCTCTCACTCTTCGCTCTTTCTACCGCAGCTTCTAACCCGTTCCCGAAGTGCCGAGGCTCCGCCAGGTACAGGGTCACTTTTCACAACCGCCTTACCCCCGGCAACTTCCGTGGTCTCATACCAGACACCGGTCTCGTGTTCTCGCCACTCGCCGGCGTGACTCACTCCAACCGCGTCTCACTCTTCACTATCCGTGGTTTCGCCAACAAGCCCACCGAGATCCTCGCCGAGACCGGTGACAATACGCGCTACATCCGCCGTGCCGAGCGACTCCGCACTGCCGGGCGAGGTGTGCTTTCAGTCGTGGACGCCGGAGCACCGACGCTTCCCGGGAACTCCACCTCGCTCTTCGTCAGAGTGAACTGCCGTCATCCGTTCCTCACCGTGATCGGCATGATCGCTCCGTCGCCGGACTGGATCGTGCAGATCAACAACAGGAACCTGTTCGACACGGAGAAGAACCGGTTCATGCGTTCGGATAGGGGAACGCTGATTGCATACGACACTGGGGTGGATGACGGGCGCGAGTTCACGCCTCCGCTGGACTTGAGCTTAGACAAGCCGACTCGGCCTCAGAAGAACATTGCGCCGCTTGTGGAGGATGCGACGGACCGGTTCGAGGGCCGGGTTGTCGGCACGTTCCGCATCAGGCGGATTGCTTAGGTATGTGCGAGTATATATAATGGAGCTGTTGCGAGAAGAATAATTTGTGACGAATTTGCTTTCTCGGCAAGGAGCATCAATTGATAATTGCTCGTATTTTTCCGCATGGGTGTGAAAAGTTGAATTAAATATGTGATTCTAACAGCTTCGATGCCGATACGCGATATTTCGTGAAGGCAAGCGGCATGCAAATAGTTTATGAACTTCCGAATCTCGTCCCTTGAATGTACCCTTCACGGCTTATTTTTCGATTATCGGAGTAATTGCAAGTACAACCACATCACCGAGTTTTCGTACAACGCAGATGAAGTGCGTTCATGAAAGACTCAGTTCATCAACATTTCGTGTTCATAAGAGGCGATGCTTGGAATGGGCTTGGAACCGTTAGTATGTGAGGAGACGAAGAATATGGCTGCAGTACACGTGTAGCTGAAAAGCGATTTCTATTTTTTTTTCGCCAAAAGGGTCGTGGGCAGCCATGGGCAGACAGACGCTCACCGAACTCTTCGTTAGGAACGGCCCTGAGTGACTGGCGTCCGTGTGCGGCATCTGTGTGTGGCGTCCGTGTGTGGCATCTGTGTGTGGCATCTGTGTGTGGCGTCTGTGTGTGGCGTCTGTGTGTGGCGAAATTCTTGAAAAAGAGCATTGCTGCTGTTCACAGCATGAGTAGGTGCTGTGCAGCACTGTCGCTGATTGGTGGCACAGGCTACTGTAAGTGGGAAGGGTTCACGTCGACGTCATGAGCTTGTCGCAGGGCCGCTTCTAAACCGCAACAATGTTTTGAAGAGAAATTGTTGTCGAAATTTTTTGTGCCACGTCGCAGATTATGCTGCTGAACGATGTAAAACCCATGAGTAGGGTTTCATCTTGCACCTCCATCTCTTCATTCGCTGCCTAACAACTCACCGTCGCGGCACTGTACGTACAGGACTGCATGTGTACTGTACCAAGGGTTCAGCACATGCCCTACGAAAGGAAACCTGTACAGCATGACCCCCTGACTCCTTTAACGAAGGACTGCCTGCCCACAAGGCTACCCTTTCGACGTCCAGCGGGCGTCACGTGCCTCCCCCTTCCTGACGGCTCAACACCCCAACAGCCCATGCTAGCCCAAACTGCGACCAGTGCCAACGCTGCTGCGCCGCCATCCCTGTCCGGGACTGGTCGCTGGTTGGTACAAATCAACCCCTCGATCGCCTGGCGTGCCGCCACCAGGGTATCGACTCCCTCCCCAAATTGCCCGCCTTCCGGACTCGACAGCGAAGCACAACACGCGCCTTGGTGCTCCTTTTGATCTCTCGCTCGTGCGCCCCCCCGTCCCATCCCCGTTTTGTCGAGCCCAGCTACCTTCCGCCTCTCCCTCGCTCGACGTGCGTACCTATCTCGTACCTCTACCTAGCCCCTGTTGCATGTCGCATTCTTCCGCCCTTCCTCTGCCTTCATGACGTGAACCATGGAGGAGGCCGGCAACTCACTGAAGATCGTCTCTACCGTCTACATCGCCATCCTCCTTCCCTGGGCCTTTCTGTACCTGCACGACTTCATCTCCGATCGCTGGCAGACCATCCGCCGCACCTTCTGCAATGGCCTTTTGCACCTCATCGCCATCCTGCTTCCGTTGCCGTACCTTCTCGTCTATGTCTATCTCCAAGCCGCCCTCGACGAGCCCGACTACAAGGAGATGTTTGCTGCCATTACGGCAGTCGCCTTCAGCCTCTACCACTTCCTTCGCACCCTCTGGGGCTTGTACCAGTTGCATTGCTTCCGAAAGTGGGCCATCAACGTCGCACTCACCATGGAGTCCGCCTCCTACCCTTGCCATCTTTCCCGAGGTGCCCACCAAGACCCCGTCACCGTGCCGCACAAGGACGACACAAAGACCTGGCGCTCGCTGCTGCAGAAAAAGGGCTCCTCTGCTCTTTCCACCATGCTCAAGAATCGTTCCAACACCAACACCAAGTTGAAACGTCCGTCCTCTCATGGTAGAAAGCACCAGCCCGCAACGTCCCGACCAAAGGAACAAGACCTCCCAACTCTCGATCCAAAGTCTCTCGAGGCGGGTTTGCGACATCGCGTCAGCACCAAGGTGTGTGTGACACATGACATCAACGCCAGGACATGTCCATCACTTGATTCTCAGAGTCACCACGTGGACGCATGTTCTGATCAGCAGCGCCTGTCGCGTATCTGCTGGGCCGTCAATCGCATGCATGTCAATAGCTCCATTATTGACAACGAGTTTATCAACAGTTACTCGCCCTTCAAGCTGGCGGCCTCTTCCTGGCGGCTGCACCCCCTGCGCAGGAAAAGTACCCTCGTGCGTTGGATCGTCCTATATCTTGCTCATTTCGGCCGCAAGTGGCTCTCCGACTGCCGCACCAGGCACTTCAATGAGGACTCATGGACCGAGCGACGTGCCCGGCTTGCGGCGAGAGTCTGGGCCACGGCTGTTTTGCGCATGGAAACTGACTGCCACGCTGCACTGCCGAATGCTCAGTCAGCCTCGACGTCTCAAGGCAATTTCGGCGCAACGTGTTTCCTTGATCCCGGAAACTGGAGTAAAGTCACCTCTTCGCTTGATGACCAACTCTTTGATAGGGATTTTGTGCTCAAGGAATGCTTCTTGAGTGGGGAGGGACTGCCGTACAACTTTCCGCTTCTTGATAAACCGGATCAGCCCTTACCCTCCTCTGGGTTGTACAGACCGCTTTTGAAAGAGGCGATGGAAACACTCCCAACTCGGTATTTTGAAGAAGTCGAGAATGTTACAACAGAACATATCAAGTGGTTCGTCGTGTTTTTAAATGTCAAGAAATGGAGGGGGTGCGTCCCGGACGAACGTCAGCAACCTCCTTCTTTACCTAATCAACCAGAACATCGTGCCTTGCAAGAAAAAGCTCCTCCCTCCTTGGGTCCGACTGACACGCCAGTTAGGTTGCTTCAGGATCAGCTTGGGTTCCACTGCCAAGCGACAACTGATAGATGCGGGTTTCCTTTTGCTACCAAGGGCTATGGAAGACATCTATGGGACAATCGAAGCGTACTGCAGGTCAGTGCCCGCATTGACAACTGGATAGCCCTCGCTGTCGGACGACAGATCGTGAACCTTCTCGAGGATTCAAAAGACCAAGAAGCTAAGCGTATTTCATTTGAAACAGCTCATCGCAGGACTCCGTCGAGGTTAAGTGGACTTGAGTCACAAGCCAACCAAGCTGTTGAAAACGAATCTCAAGCAAACACAGATGATGACCGGAGCTCTACAAGGAGCGACTCGATCTTGACATTTCACAAGAAGCTTGAGCTCAGGCGACTGCGCTTCCAACTTGCTAATCCGAATCCGCAACATAGTCATCTCGAGGTCGGTTTGACTTTCATGGGCTGTGTAACCGAAAGTGTTCGGTCCGGAATTGCAGAAACCTTGAGTAGAACCGAGGACAACTCAGCTTGGTCTCCTGTTATTCCCGAAGAAGCGGTTTCGTTTGCGATCTCTGAACAATTGATGAGGAGTTTAGGTAGAGCCTTCTTTGGCCAAATTACCACTCCCTTCGATTCGACACTTAGAGAACGCTTACTGTGGGAGTGCCAAAATGGCGTGCAATGGAGCTGGCAGAACAAGCAACTGAATGATCGTTTTCGCGGACCAGCAAAGGCACAAGCAGAAGTCATAGAGACAATGATGCTGTGCATATTGGGATTTCCAAGCATTCACTTGTTAAATCACAACTCTATACGCGCAATCGATAAGTCACGAACTGCAAATTTAGTCTTCGAGATCTGGCCTACGGCTGCCCCCCAACACCTTCGCATTCGACTGGTTGTCGACTGCGCGAATTCACTAATGATAGCCAAGATTCGAGAATGTGAAACTGGTGCAGCTATGGCAACACTTTCTCCTACAACTGGGTTTCTATGGCAGGATTGGCGTGATGCGTTTGCTGGTCGTTTACTTGGCAAGCGTTCGTGGCAGAAAGCTCATTCAATGAAGGAATTGCAGGTGCGACGCACGACCGAAAGCATTTCGCGTGGTATTCAGAAAATAATTACTGCTGAAGACGACGGAGACAGGCCCGTCCCAGTTTTTCGGCGACAATTGGTTTGGGGTGGGTGGATGCCGTTCCGGGCTGGGCTCACGTTGTTTGAGTTGAAACATTCATCCCTCATTATTCTTGGAGATAGCATGCCAACTGATACATACTCACCGACAGATGGGTTCTCGGAGAGCACAACAGCAGAATCTGAAGTGCAACCGCAAGATAAAGGCACACCTCAAGAAATAAGTGATACGTATCAGCGAGCCAGTATGTCCGCACTTACAGACGCTTCCATACATTTGGATGCATTGTTAACTCTGGACACTAACCTGCTAGACGACGGCCCGGGGAAGCCTCAGGATGAGGACGATGACGTAGCTGAGTCTCAGCTTGTCGATCTTGTTCCAAGTGCGTCGTCATCAAGTGACGGACAATCATTCAGGATGGAATTTAACTTTGATCCACCGCTGCCAGCCTCAATTTTAGCGAAGGCGAGTCTGCAGGACCCCCATGCGATGCACATTTTGGCCAAATGGGTTCTTACGGGAACAAAGGGATTCCAGAAGAACTACACGAAAGCCCTTTTGCTAATGGAGCGCGCACTCATTCTTGGTCGGAACATAATGACAGCTCGTCTCCTAGTCAAAACATTAACCGATAAAACGTTCATGCCGGATATACCTGTGGATATAGATCGTGCCCTTGCTGCGGTCGAACTCCTCTGGCGAGACATAGCGGGAAGACATGAAGTTGTATCGATCGAGAACAAAAAAGTCCGAAGGTGGAAAGGAGATTCCGAGGCGGAGCTCACACGGCTTTCAAAGTTGGTGTGCATGCATCAGAAGCTCGTTCAGGCGAGGCCAACAGCTGAGATGATGCGTAATCTAGCCGACCATCTTTCGACATGGGGAGAATCGAAACCAGATGAACACGCAGCGACTGTTCTCTACGAGACGGCGATACTTGCGAGCTGTGACAGCAAGTCTATCTTGGAGCTAGGCCGAAGATTTCACAACCGTGATCCCCCGTTTGCGGCGGCTATGTACCAGCGTGCCTTAGTTGCGGGACAAGGCGTCGCAGCAAAGTTGCTGGCTGACCTCTTGCTGAGCGAGAAAAACAACTTGCGGATATCTCCTGCACAAATCGCCGATGTTTACGAGAGAGCGGTTCGCCTTGGACACGTGGGTGCAATGCGGGAGCTTGGGTTGCTTTTGCTGCATGGCGACGATGGTGTGCTGGCGAACATTGTTCGTGGCAGACACTTGGCCGAAAGAGCAGTGTATGGAGACTCCATTGCCCGCGCGTTGGACAGTGGAGCTGCATCCCTGGAAATCGACTCACGGCTTGCAGATCAGCTGCGCGCGTCTGCTCGACAGGCCTTTGGTTCTCCAGGCGGTTCTGCGAGTGGCCATGATACAGGACCCCGCGGAAGATCTTGAGCGTTTTCGATGACATGTACAGTAGGTCTCCCTGTCGCAGCACGGCTCGCTTTTTGCATTTTGAAGTTACGAATATATGTACACCCAGGGACCGTAATTGGTCTCACTCACACTACTTCGGTGGCCATTTTTGGGACCATACTTCATGGGTTTGACACTAAATAAATTTTGTACACACAAATTCCCTTAGTACAGTATGTGTGTCGTATTTTGTGATCTGGCATGCAAATGACATAAAATGTGTAACCGTTCCCGACCTAATTAGAGCAACCCCACCGCGTCGATTCTATTGCCGGATAGAAATGAAACGTGTACGCTGACTATTCGCCGGTTGCACGAATAGATTTTTGTGGCGAATCGTCAATCTATTCGTGTGGATTCTATTCGCGTCAACCCCAACGCATATTTGCAACTCTATCGTTGAATGCTCGTGCGGACAGCGGCGAGACGTCACACATCGTCTGCGAAGAGGCGATCGTTCATCGAGACGCCCACCCCTCGCCGTGAATCCCGCACGGCTGCATGTCTGTCTTCCGCAGCCTGTGCCCTCTGTCCCTGTTCGCCGCGCGCCCTCCCTCCGGTACTGTCCAACTACGCGCTCCCACACGGCATCATCGCCAATGAACCCGATAGAAGTCCTCAGAACCGTCCTTCAGTACACAGACGACAGCCATGGGGATGATGAAATCATTGTCGCGAGCATGCACGGGTCACGCGTCGCCGAAGTGCATGCTGCAGCGACGAAGCAGCGCGGAGGTTCTCGGTTGGGACGGTATGATCGAGTTCGCGCGCTTCGCTATTCGTAGTATACTGTGACAGGTGGTTGTTGATGATGTGCCTCTCCCACGCTGCTAGAGGACATGAAAGGCTGATTTGCATGCCTGAATGAAGCGCGCGACACGCCTGCCGAGGAGTTTCGGCTCGCCTTCTCGCAAGTAGGAGGCACATTTGGCTGGAATTTGGTTGACACGCTTGGCACGTGTCATTCTATCGGGGAATCTATTCATCGGATAGAACGTTTTTGGGATCTATCGGCGCCCGGATAGATTCCGAAATGGTTCTATTCGATTTCGGAAAGCGATAGAATTGCGCGGTGGGGTTGAAAATCGTGAGCAGAAATTCTATTGATCAAATAGATGTGCGCGGTGGGGTTGCTCTTACCAATGCCTCCTTAATTGCCAATGTAAACTTTCGTGAAAATTTCGGTGCGTAGTACCTCCTACCGACGCTTTCGCGGTAAAGTTAGTTTACGAAGTGCATGTATACTGTATCGAAAAGCAAACACGAATGCCTTGTGGTTTGGGCGCCAAAACATTCCCAAGAGCCTCAACTTTCATCACATCGACTATAAAATGCCACTACACACCCACCCTTGAAAACAACCGACGGGGCTCACAGCGTCCCATACAGGTTCCATCGTCGCAACGATGGAATCACCTGATATCCCCAAACTCCAACACGCAGTCTTCCGGCATGTATTCTGCTCCATTCCTCTCAAGACAGTGCTGCTGACCGTCGTCAATTGGCTTCTCTCGCACCGGTCAGGCGTTTGCAGGAGGAATGTCTAGCACAGAGTAGAGGTGAGAGACGCTTGAGGACTCGTCTCGGATTTGAAAAGGGAGCAGCACCCCAATGAGATACTGTAGACATGCTCGCTCATGTACTGCTTTGGTTGAGAATGCATGGCCACGGCGCGTAATGTTATGATAACCAGTAATCGGCAATTATGCACTACTCGTAAAATGACTGCGTTTTTGAAGGTTGTTGAATGGAAGCGTGTCTTGCCGCTGATTGTTGAGCTGGAAAGCGGTGGCCTAAACTACGCGAGTTGCGGTGTTTAGATGGTAGATGGCTTTTGAATGGCTTCGAATGAGCAAGTTCAGCAGTTTTTTCAATTAAAAAGGTCGATTCAGTGCTGAGGAAACGGACATTTTGGCAATTTGGTCGGGAATGGTTACCCTCACTCGGATGGCTTGTATCCTCCTCTTGTTCTGCATTAAAAAAAGAACTGAGTTCAGAAACATCTAAATTATCAATAACGGAGCAATTCTCGAGTCCCCTGAGATCATCTGCCAAGTGCTCCATAACACCATCGCGCCATTCAGGTTGCGTTATTGTATGGTTTGTACAGTCAACATCAATTTGTACAGTAGTGTTCTCAAGATATTTAAGATAGTCAGCGCCCTGACGTTTTGCTTCCCGTGACCGATGCTCAGCTATTTTGTTCTGTATTTGTAACGGTGTTCCACTCTGTGGCAGCTTGGCACTCTTCCCACAATCTGTGGGAGATAATAAAGCTGCACGGAGGTCTCTGTCTTGATAAGGAGCCAGTGTGTCACAACTCAGCCAACCATTAATAACCACCTTTGTCGGCACGAGGTCCCACGCTGTTGCCATCATACACGCCGCACCATAAATCGTCACGGCTTTTTACAGCTTAAATGACTCGCGACACTCGGGGGGTTTCGCCATCCGTACATTGACCTACGCCAGTACGTGATTAACCGACAACCTCCTAAATGCAGCTTTAAACGATCTTTCAATGGAGGCGTCTACAGGCTGTACCACAGATGTGAGGTTGGGTGGCACAAACTGGGTCTCGGCATTTTAAAGCTGCTGCAATCAATAGCATGCGCCGAGCAGTTGTCCACTGTGGGAATTGTCCCAGAAAATAATTAAAAGAAATAGTTTAAACAGATTATTAATGTCTAGAAAAGCCTACCACCGGCTCTTCAAACTCAACCCAACCTCCGGGTAATCGGAGCGATGTTCGTGAAGGATTCTGCGTAGACACGTCTGTTCAAATCTGCCTCCGAGCAGACCCTCGCGCTAGTCGCATGGGACTGTCCGTTATATACTAATTTACTGTAACCCTAAACAAGGCAAGTTCTTTCCTCACGGCGTGATCCATTCACGTGGTGAGGTATATCGCCATATGAGAGACATTATGATAGAAACTTTCACACTGCCATTTTTCCAGAAGTAGAACTTGCCGGAGTCCTGACAATCCATTTTCAGACAGTATTGAGGTCGTAACCCGTACCTAGGAGCTTTTCCAAGGCTTCGTTGGGATGTTCTTTTGTCAAACCATCGGCTATGTTGTTTTCAGATGAGACAAGATCGACGTGAGATATTTCTTCTCGGTTGTAGCATTGACGCGCAGATGCAATGTCAATCATCAGCCGTTTTTCTGTCGTTGATGACACTTTCGTGATGACGTCAAACATTTGAAGAGAATCCGTGAACATATGAAGTGGAATCTTCTTCTTAAATATCATTTGGAGGTCATGGCGTAAAATATATGCTCTGTCGAAACCGTCAGCGAAAGCGTACACTTCTCCACCAAGAATGGATCTTACAACACGCTTGGACTTTCTACTGTAGTAATCTAAAACATGTGTGCGATTCGACTCATCACATAGAAGGATGATGAACCCGAGTTGTGATGACAAATCATCATTTCCAGCAAATGAAGCATCTTCATATACCTTCAGATGAAGCGTCTGCTTGTCCAAGGGGGATATTGGAGGCACCTTTCAGGGGTTTTCTGTAAGAACGTGATCGTAGTGTTGAATGCCTTGACCTTTTCCACCCCAAATGTACCTTCAGTCACCTGTGCTGCTTTGTCGATGGCACATAATGCGTCGGGCCTTGTGTATCCCACCCAAGCGAATGTGGCTCTGTACGATCGTAATCGTTCGAATGATGCGTCAAGCGGTAACGGCGTTACTCGTTTTATATAGGCTTTCTGGGATATCACAAAATGTCCGTTGTTCATTGTGGAGATAATCGTTCCAAAGAATTCGAAGTTGTCCCATTCTCGTGGCCTTGATTCGAACTTCTGAAGCGTTAGCTCCGTAAGTTCCTGCATCACTTTGTTCCCTGCTAGGCACCCGTCGTCCACGCACATTCCTAAGAGTCCGTCAATGTTCTCATCGTTGCGTTTGATGTATAGCGACGAGTCGACCGGTAAGGGCACAAGTCCAAGGTCATCTTTGGCATTGTGATCGACGGTGACTCCCCAGTAGTCGTCTGCGTCGGTCATGCCGTATATTGGCCTAAGCAATTCTAGAATCTCGTTCTGAGCCAACCCAAAATGCTCCATATCTTTCTTTTTGGGAGCAGGAACACCTTGCGGGTAAGCTTCTCCTCACTTTGAAGGTAAGCTTGGGTGACGTCGTGTGAAAAGATACGAAATCTTTTGATAGCGGCGACCGAAACTACTATTCTTGTTGAACTTTGGCGTAAGTTCGTGATGTTATGGACCATGTATGATTTATCCATATCACGATGACCTTGCGCCACATAACGGGCTTTTGCGAGTTCACCATCCGTACCTGCGTTCTTGAGGGCAAGCACAAACCGCCCCCCCCAAAATATTCGGTCTCGGGGGTAGAGTTCTCTTCAGGATTACCCTCCAAGTATTCCTTTTCTCAAGTCCAACAACCTCCTTTCTCATGGCTTTGGCGAATTCCTCTGATTTTGCTCTTGCGTCCGTTTGTTTGATGATTTCAGTCATGAAAACGTCGAGGTCTGGTGTCGCTTCAATGGGTACTGCGGTTTGCAAAGGAGGGGGCGTACTTTGTAGAGGTGTCAACAATAACTGAGAGCTTTGTGGATTCGCACGGATCCTAGTTAATATGGTTTCCAAGTCGTCCAGGACATCACTTTGCGGCGGAGGCTCCACAACAGGATTTGAGGTATTCTTGAGATCAGGTGTGACGTCAATTGTACTGACTGGCGGGGGGGACTCGTAAGCTTTCACCTTGTCTATGGACACTTGGTAGTCGGTACCATCCAAGTCTATGAAACGGCACTTATCCTTTACATCCAAAACCCTGTACGGCCCAATCTACTTATTCTCAGGTTTCTCCCTGAATATCAGGACACGTGAGCCGATGGGTATATCGGATTGAGCTGCTGACGGTACATTCACGCGCAAGGCCCTTGTGACCCTCTCCTTTGCAATGACCCGAGTCATTTCCTTTCGAGCCAAAATAATCGCGTTTTTCACTTACGTTTTTTTCTCGGCCATTCCATTGGCCAGGCCGCGATCCGCCACCACTCCTTCGGAGCACCTCGCGTATCTCCATCCCCCCAGCTCGTGTGTTCCTCGCCGCTCGCTGTCTGCCCTTTCGCCGCTCGCTCGCTACTGCTTTTGCTGCCGCTCGCCCGCCGCTGCCCTCGCCGCCGCTCGCTCGCCACTACCCTCGCCGCCGCTCGCTCGGT